TGGGATTCGAACTACCCAGACAGGAAAAGGAATTCAAATTTTCCCGGGGCTTTTCCTGTGTGACTGGTCACAGCATCCGAGCTCGGACTGCTGTCCAGAGCGTCAACAGAGTGGTGCACTGTGAGAGAGCTCCTGGAGCTATTAGCGTCGATTTCCATCCACACCTACCCTAATTCGACATGGCCATGTCGAATTTAGCACTACTCCCCTTGTTGGGGAGGAGTACAGAAATCGAATTTAAGAGACCTCTATGTCGAACTAAATAGCTTCGTTGTGTGGACGGGTGCAGGGTTAATTCGATTTAACGCTGCTAAATTCGACATAACCTCCTAGTGTAGACCAGGCCTTAAACAACTTAATTCGCTCTTGGGAAAATGTATATTTAGGTGTGGGGGGCGGGCGTTAGTGTTGTATTTACATGAGAGAGACCAAAATGGATTTAAAGGAGCTGTCTTGTTCTGTTGTGTAAATATATGTTCTAACAGTTTAAAACCACCTCCTATTTACCCAAGAGATTGGAATGCCTCTCAAGCTTCAGTTCTGGTCTGTGGGGTTGTCAGGGTTCCCTCCCCACTCTGAACTCTGGGGCACAGATGTGGGAACCTTCATGAAAGACCCCCTAAGCTTATTTCTAGCAGCTTTGGTTAAAAACTTCCCCAAGGCACAAATGCCTTGTCCTGGGATGGTATCGCTGCCACTACCAAGTGATTTAGACAAAGATTCAGGAAAAGGACCACTTGGAGTTCCTATTTCTCCAAAATATCCCCCCAAGCCCCTTCACCCCCTTTCCTGGGTGGCTTGAGAATAATATACCAACCAATAGGTTAATAAAGTGATTGCAGACCAGACCCTTGGGTTTTTAGGACACTAAAAACCAATCAGGTTCTTAAAAGAAGAACTTTATAATAAAGAAAAAGGTAAAAGAAGCACCTCTATAAAATCAGGATGGAAGATAATGTCACAGGGTAATAAAAAGATTTAAAACACAGAGGAATCCTCTCTAGGCTCAACTTCAAAGTTACAAAAATAGGAATAAACCTCTCTTAGCATAGAGAAAATTCCCAAGCTAAAACAAAAGATAATCTAACCCATTTCCTTGCTATTACTTACAATTTCTGTAATTTTAGATGTATAATTTCAGTAGGAGTTGGGTTACCTGCTTGGTCTATCTTTGTCCCGAGAGGGAACAACAAAGAGAGCACAAACACAACCTTCCCCGCCCCCCAGATTTGAAAATATTTTCTTTCCTTATTGGTCCTTTTGGTTAGGTGCCAACCAGGTTATTTGAGCTTCTTAACCCCTTACAGGTAAAGGAGGGATTTTATGATACCCTTAGCTGTATGTTTTTATGACAGGGGTGTCTCTGCAGCATTTTACATTTTATTATTTTTATTTTTATTTTTTTTAGAAACTTCTATTAAACTGATAAACCAGCACACTTATAGGATGTGTAAATTGTATATTAAAATACCACAAAAACTACTCAGTGAAGTTTTATATTACGACTATTTAAAATGTTTCCATTTATAGTATGCCAGGAGTAATCCAAATATTTAGTCTGGGTAAATTTCAACTATTTTTAATTATAAGAGCAAAAAACACCTAAGTAATTCTTACACATATACTTCTAGAGCCTGATTCACCGCTGTGTCCTAAAGCTTTCTGCCTGTCTAATTCCATTTGCTGATGCACCATTTTTGTACTTAACTTGCTTAATTTTTGTGTTAAATTTCAAAGAGCTCAGAACCCTTGTAGGCCCCTGAATTCTCTTCTGAAAACTGCCCCCCCCCCTTGTGGGTTCTGAACATACATATATATTTAATCTGCCCTTCTCTACAATTTTGCATATATTGTTTCTTTTTTGTGCTTTCTATCATCTAAGATTGTTTACAGATAAATAATACAAATCTAGGCCCTGATTCAGGAAAGTACTTTAGCATATGCATAACTTTTAAACCTATGGAACTACTCTCATGCTCAAAGTTCTATACTGCAGTTGATCTAAGACTAACATGTTTTTTTTCCATTTACCTTAACATTATGAGCAACACATTTTTGTGGTTAAATTATAACCCTTCTAAAAGCTTCTTTGGTGGAAACTAACTTTAAAGGTGCTCTGATCTTGTTGTAATTACTTTTAAAAGAGCTTCCTAAAACAAGTAGTAGATTTATAGAGTGAACATTTTTATCCTCTGGACAAACTTAATTTTGGTTAGCACTAGGAGATGGAAAAAACACTATTTGCCTAGGCCAAAATTTAAAAGTGGGTGCCTAAACTCAGGCACCTAAATTTATATTTAGGTATAACCCCATGCATAGCTTATTGAGTTGTGCACATGACTTCAGAAGGTAGCTGCAGGTGCTCAACACTTTTGGGATTCAGGCGACTATTTTATAAGATACCTAAATATAAAATAATTCTGGGCACCCCAAGTTTGAACATGTTGCCTCTGGGTTTTACTATAGTTCTGTGCACAGACATGTCCAATATAGTCTCCTAGAGCAGATATAGTGTTTTTTTTAAGCACAAAATGCAATAATCCTTGTGTACACAAGATACAAGATGAAAACCCAAAAGAAATAGGAGTTTCACACACAGTAGCAGAAACAAATGTTCCCAGTTTTGCAGACAATTATCTTGTAGGGAGCTTATTTGAGGAGGATTTCTGAAATGAATCATGAGTCATGGCCATGTTTCAGAATTATTGTATCTAGGGATTATCAGAATGAAAGTATGCAGTATCCTGCTGAAAAGTAGATCAAAATATGCAAGGGATTTCTTCCATTTTTGCTATAACCTATTTGTTCTCTTCTGAAAGACATGCTAGCTTCTGGCTTGACTTTTCCCATATAGCATAGGTTGGGACACTGTGCCTTAGTTAACAGCAAACTTTGCTTTGTGTAACATTTCATGCTGATGAGCCTCATAGTTGCCTCTTTATAGCTGCTTGACTTCCTCTACTTAGTTTTATTATATGATCTAGATCAAGAGTTAATCTTTGTTCTGCATTGTGTTATGTATACTAGAAAGTGTTCAGAATTACTTGTGAAAGCAGGGAAAATAGAGTAGCATGGTTCCATTCACTGTAATTAAAGTTGTCAGCCTTTCCATTATATAAACTCCGATTTTTTTTGAACGGTTTAAAACTCAGCTGTAAAAATTCATTGTAAACTGGAAGTTGGCAAATTAAGTCTCTGCCTGGGGTATAGTTTTTTAATAAAATACAAAAAAATGTATTAGTCACTTTGTGGTTTGAGGGGGTGGGCTGTTTTGTTTTTGTTTAAAGTCCATGAGAGGCATCGCAGGTTAAGCTGTTATGATGATGATGATTGAATGTTTTGAAAAGACCATTTTTAGAGATGCTGAGTACCTGTAGTTCCCATTAGCTGCAACTGGATGTCAGGGCTCAGCAATTTTGAAAATTAGGCCCTTAGTGCTTCGCTAAAATGTTGGTTTTGGGGAGAGGTTTGCTTTTTGGGGGTTTCTGGGTTTTTTTACTCTGCTCATTAATTTCCTCTTAAAAACATTAAAAACAATCTTCTCACCACCCCCCCCACCACCACCACCGATTGTGTTTTCATTAGCAAATAAGCATTTATTTCCCTTCCCCTGTGTTCCTAGTGATCTTCTAAAAATGTTAACATGCACCCCTTCATTTTGCTAAAGTCAAAAATGGTCTAGCATTTGGTCATTAGTTACTGCTTGGAAGGAGAGAGTGAATAATTTAATAAGTCAAAAGGATTCATTACACTCACCCGGTTAAAGCTAGTTGGGAATTTTCCATCACAATGATTTTTCCAGCAGAAAGTGTCCTATTTACAAAATCAAAATTTTCTAAAGGAAATTTTCAATTTTGCCAACAAATTTCAATTTTCTATCTGGAAAACTGAAATTATAGCTGCCCATGTGGAAGGCTTTTATCAATTTTACTTTCTGCCTGCAGAAACTGATATTGACAAGAGACTTCATGGTGAGTTGCTGGAGGCTGAGTGCCCCCAACTCTCTTCCTCCCTGCTTCTCAGCCTGCTCACTTCTTTCTCTACCTGGAATTCAACATGCATGGATTTACTCCACGGTAAGCCAGTGGCAGTTGAATGTCTGATCATTTTGTAATCTTTATTTCCCTTTATAAATTATTGGTTGCTGATCTCGATCACTTTAAAGCTTTACTGTTTCATGTTGGGTTTGTTGTGCATTGGTTAGATATATTGAGATTTAAAAACTTTTAATGTCAAATTTTAATTAGTTTTACTGTCCAATTTAGACAAATTTACATTATCATACGTTAAAGTGGGGAGATTTTTACCACTGATACACTAGATTATTTACTTTCTTGCTTAACCCAAGACAAGAGTTGTGAAATTAACCAGTTAGAGTGAGCGGGAAATACCAAAGGATGTAGGATACAATTCAACAAAGCATTTAAACACAAGCTTAAATCTATCCTTCCTCAGGAAAATATTTATATATGTGTTTAAATCCCATTGAAGTCACACACCTAAGTGCTGTGCTTTGAATAAAAATGACATGAGACTTTAATGGAACTACTTATGTGAGTAAAGTTACACACACTTAAATGTTTTTTGCAGGATTGGGCCTATATTAATGTAAGGTAAATAGTAGAGGGAAATATAAAGTTCCCACTTTGCACATCTTTTTTGAGTAACTGGTCTAGTAAGGGCCAAATCCCGCATTTTTCATAAACACAATATTTCCATTGACTTCAGGATCAGGCCCCATCTGTATTTCTACTCTGTTGGGAATTGAGTACTTCTCAAATCACAAAGTTACTCCACTGGAAATTATATAGAGAGAAGGGTGTTCAATACTTATGAAAATCAGGCCATTTTTATTTATGAGCCTGATAGTGGACTTAGGAACCTAACTTTAGATGCCCATTTTGGGAAATCTTGGCCTGAAATGATAATTAAAATAACAGAATTTTTATTCCTCTCAATGGAGGTAACTAACCTTACCCTCTCTGTACATCAATTTAGCCATAAATCTTCTGTCATTAAAAAGCTCAGATGTTAAATGATACAGCATGGTTTCTTAAATGAATGTTATCCTTTTTTCTTCAATACAGTGCTGCTGCAATTTTGAGTTTTAAAGTTTTTATATTTTTTTTGTTTATTAAGCCATGTTTTCCTCATTGCTATTGCTATGTGTTCTACTGTACTTAAAAGAGTCTGGCAACTAAATGCATGCCATGACTGTGAGATGCCAATTAGATAATTTTCTCAATGTTATTTTTAGAATAGTTGGACAAGACGCACTGGCAGGTATTTATTCAATTCTCTTCAGCTAAACAACATAGTAAACTAATTATATACAAGAAAAGATTCAGTCTTCTTACCATGCATAAACAATTGTTTCAGTTAAGAGAATTATAAATGTTCTCATTTTAATCTTTAAAAAGATCTACTCCCAACAACTGTTCTTATTTAGATGTGGTTTTGACTTCATTTAGTTCTGTATAAAATCTTGGCAGACTGACTGTTAAACAAGAGAGAGCTGGACAAATTAGAGCAGAGGACTGGTGCTATGTCTACACTGTAATAAAACACCTGTGGTTGGCTTGTATCATCTGACTCAGGTTCGTGTGGCTATAAAATTGCAGAATAGACGTTCAGGTTTGGGCTGTTACCAGGTTCTGGAATGCCACAAGCAGGGAAGTTCCAAGTGCCCAGGCTCCAGCCCTAGCCCAAACTTCTATGCAGCAATTTTATAGCCCCATGAGCCTGAGTCAGCTGACACAGGCCAGCCAATGATAATTTATTGCAGTGTCAACATACCATGGATTCTATTCCAGGCTTGGCTATTAAATAGCAAGTCACTTAAGCCAAAAATTTCAAATCTGGGTGTCTGATCTTTCATTCAATGAAAATGGCCTGTTTTCAGGGTGATGAGCACTCACAGCTCCCATGAAAGGCAAGGAAGATACATTTCCTTGTATAGATATCTTTAATGTTCCAGGGCAAAAATTAGGAGTCCCTAAAATCCACATTCATGCTTCTAAATAAAAGTGGCCTGGAACTCAGAAGTGCTGAGTATCACAGTTTCAAGACAACTGCACCTATACTCCCACTCAGTGATCCATCAAGGGCACCCACTCTAGGGTCCTGGCTCCTCAGCCGTCATCTCTCTTGGAGAGAGTTCTCTCTCGTGCTCTCTTTCTCCTGACCGGGGTGTTCAGGCTTCACAGCTCCCTGATTTACACTGTGATATCCCCAGCAAGCCAGACTGCCTAAAAGGCCAGTGTCTGAGGTTGTCTTTCTCTCCTGAGGCTATGCCCTGTGTATTGCCTGCAGTTATACGTTGCTACACAGCCCGTTAGAGTCATAGACTTTAAGGTCAGAAGGGACCATTATGATCAAGCAATCACGTTTATTCTTAGGGTAAAAGCATTACAGCGAAAACATATTGAAAATTAATGAATTTATACTGTTTCTAAGAAGCTTACCAGACACCACCCCAACTCCAACCTTGGGCTCTGGTAGATGTAAGTCCTTCAAAACCCACAAGTGGATTACAAGTTCTCAAATTCAGAACAGAACACAGGCTGGGCAGTTCAACTGAGTTTTGTCTTGTTTTTATACAGCTCACACCTTTGATCTCCTTTCTGGACACAGGAAATCAGCAGACAATGACCCAACCCTCAGGACATAGCTTCAGAAGTTTGGGTTTTTGCATAACCAGAGGGGAGGAAATTTACATTAACCTCTCCCTAGTGTGTCTTGTTTTTTGTTTTTCCCAAGCAGGAAATCCACTTCACACTTATTGTCCTAAAAGTCCATTCTTGTCTGGCATATTTTCAATATAACCCTTTGAACTCCCATCATACCCTCTCTTTGGAGAGATTGCAATCCCAGCCCACAATATTATATTAACTTTCTATTTAATGCAATAGATCTTAAAAATACTTAAACTTAATTCAATGAGATCTCCCAAGGATATGCAGGAAATTGCCATATCTATCACAATGACCACCTAACAATCCCCATTGAAATCATTTGGACCTGTGAACACTCAGCACTTTGGAAAATCAGGCCACATTTATTTAGGAGCCAGAACGTGTATTTTGGAGCCTAGTTTAGATGCCCATTTCTGAAAATCTTAGCCTGAAACTAACTATAGGAGTAGAATTTATATTGATCTCATTTGAAACAACCTTAACCTCTTGATGCATCAGTTTATCCATGTTTGAGTATAAATATATTTATCTTCCTCACAAAGTGCTGTGAGGCTTAATTCAACTAATGTTCATCAAGCACTCTGAAACCATCTGATGAAATCTTCCACAGACATTCCAAACTTTATTATAATAATATTTTAATATTTTTGTTGCTGCTATTCTTTTGTTGTGGAAAGCCTGTCATAACAATGCTGGATTCATTGAATGATGGACTTGCACATTGGTAGAAGCCTAGAACAAAGCAGGGTTGTATAAAAAGACATGGCGTTTGTGAATCCTTTTGCAGCTACTTTGGCTCAAGTAAGAGTTTCTCCCTTATGACCCTTTCACTATATCCTGCAGTGAAGCCATATATTATATTTTTGATATATTGATATATGTTACTAGGGAAATAATACTTAAACAGTGCTTTTCAACTGAGTTTCAATAATAATAATAATACAGTAGAACCTTGGAGTTATGAACACCTTGGGAATGGAGGTTGTTCGTAACTCTGAAACGTTTAACTGAAAAAAACATCATGGCTGTTCTTTCAAAAGTTCACAACTGAACATTGGCTTAATACAGCTTCGAAACTTTACTATGCAGAAGTGAAATGCTGCTTTTAACCATCTTAATTTAAATGCAACAAGCACAGATAGTTTCCTTTCCTTGTCAAATCTTTTTTTTTAAACTTTCCCTTTATTTTTTCAGTAGTTTACATATAACAGTACTGTACTGTATTTGTTTGATTCGGTGGGGGAGAGGGGGGAGTTGTTTGTTTGTCTTGGTCTCTCTGCTGCTGCCTGATCCACACACCTCATTTTGAATAGGAAATGTGCATTGACCGGTCAGTCTAGAACTCTGGTGTTTGTAACTCTGAGGTTCTACAGTAGTAATGATACCTAGCTCTTACATGGAGTGTAGTTGTAGCTGTGTTGGTCCCAGCTCTGTGTGGCTCAAAAGCATCTCTCTTTCACCAACAGAAGTTGGTCCAATAAAAGATATTACCTCACCCACTCTAGCTCTTTTTAGTATTTTTCATGAATAGATCTCAAATCACTTACAGATATTAATTTAGTCTTACAACATTCTTGTGAGGCAGGTAAGTGTTTTATAGGATACATGAGGATAGAGAGGTTGAGTGACTTGTCTAAAATCACAGACTAAGTCTGTGGCTGAGCTGGGAATGGAATCCGCATCTCCTGTCTCTGTCCATTGAATGAATCAATATTTATATCCAGCACAAATACCCACAATGTGAAACTAAAATATTTCTGTTAATGAGATAAAAACATATTAAAGGAATGGTCTACTACTTGCTTTCCCATTATTTTATCAAAACCATTTAATCTTTTTTCAGTTGTAGCTTGTTGGCAGACTTTCCCTTTTTACAAACCATAGGTTATTTTCAGTGGAGTGGAGGGCAGGTTCCCTTTCTTTTGGAGATCTTAATAAACCTCATTTAAGCATCAACATATCATGGAAACCACAGGTAGAACAACTCTGAAGTGGGTGGTGGTTCTCCATTCCACCACCTACTGCCAGGTTGTATTGATGTTACATTGAAAACAACTATTTCAGGGTATTGTACCATTCAGGGCCGGCTTTAGGCCAATTCCCCCGAATCGGGCCCCGCGCCTAAGAGGGCCCCGCGCCCAGTAGCAGGGCCGCCGGGGGGGGGAGGGGAGAAAGAAGTGGCCGAGAATCCCTTCCCTGGCTAGAGGCTCCTTTTTAATTTTTACTGACCTGGCGGCGCTCCGGGTCTTCGGTGGCACTTCGGCAGTGGGTCCTTCACTCGCTCCGGGTCTTCGGCAGCACTTCGGCAGCAGGTCCTTCAGTGCCGCCGAAGACCCGGAGTGAGTGAAGGACCCACCGCCAAAGACTAGGAGCACCGCCCGGTGAGTACAAGCCCCACGAGTTTTTTTTATGTTTTTTTTTTTTTTTAAGTCATCCCTGCCGGGGCCCCGTCGAAACTGTTCGAATCGGGCCCCGCACTTCCTAAAGCCGGCCCTGAATGGTACAATACCCTGAAATAGTTGTTTTCAATATAA